AGAGAGTGAGCGGGGGGATTTGGGGTGCGGCCGCCGTATTCATTTGATGAAAGAGAGGATGCACTCCCTGAAACAAATTTGGTGCAATTTTTTAATTTCATTGGTCTCTTAAAGCCAACATTTTCTTGGGATTGAACATAAGCATGATGAACTAACTAGCACGTTTATTCCTGTTTTGTAAGTAGAACAGAATTTGTTCAACTTCTTGACGCATTCCTTCTGGTATGAGAGCACATTTTTCCATAACAACATCAGCCAATAACTGGACGTCAACGTCTTCATTGAGATCTTTGAGGTTAATCCTTAAAAGACTCGATAGTTTTGCAGTAAGTAAGAGCTTCAATGATTTGATTAGAACAGTAGAAGATTAGAAAACAAGAAGTTCATCATAAGATGAAGGAAAAGCCATAAAAATATTCAAACCGTAGCAAGGGAAGAAAACACTGAAAAGAGAAGACGTACAGCTTTTGACATTCTGTGGTGCGATGGTTTCGACTGTTTTCCACTTGATACTTGATGACAATAGCTTGTTCAATAGGATGAGCATCAACCGTCACGTTATCGATGGTTCTAAAAGCCAGATGGAAAATTTCCTTTTTATAATTTGCACACGTTCATGAGTTTAGACCTATAAGAATTTGAAAAATGTGTCCTACACTGCTGCATTAACCGGCGGCCACGTAACTGCTAAATAGAATTAGGAGGAACAGCAAACGGGTTGTATAGGCATTTTCCAAAGAGGGTCGATCGTTTTTTGAAGAGGATCAAAAACTCTAGGTGTGGAATTGATAAGAAATGAAAACATTCAAATACCGTGGTGTCATGGTCCCAATAGAGCAGAAAACACACGTTTGCAGTGGATGGGACATCGAGAAGTGGGCATGCGCTATTATCACAATTTCCTCTTTGCATGAAATCGTAGACGCAGCGACCTCAGGGTGCGGTCATATTTTGCAACCGTCCTGTTGTTCGAGTGCGGAGCATTATACAATGATCGTGCGATCACATGATCGATGCGTATCTACTCCACAATCGAACTGGAAACAAAGTACAGGGCATTCATAAACTATGAACGCATCCTAAAGTTGCACCTAACACCTACGCTTACTCCGAACCAGGGTCAGTCCTATCGTTGTTAC